AACTCCCGCACAGCACCTCTCACCGTTGTTGCATCTTTCTTTTCAGAAAGTCGAGGAGCGACACCCAAATTCAACCCATCAAGCCGCCTCAAATGGCTGCTGCCGAGGGCATCTTCGACTACATAGTAGTGGGCGGCGGAATCGCCGGCTGTGCTCTCGCTTCTCTCCTCTCCAAATCGAAATCATCCCCCTCTATTCTGTTAATTGAAGCTGGCCCGGATGTGTCGGGTCACCCACTGACCCAGTCTCCTTTGGGCTGCTTCGCCGCACACGGATCGGATATTGACTGGAACTATAAGACCGTACCTCAACCACACCTCAATGATCGGTCGCTGTATGAAGCCGGTGGGAAGGCCTTGGGGGGTGGTAGCGCAACCAACTATGCCACCTGGACTCGTGGTCCGAAAGTCGATTACGACCGATGGGGGAAACTCGTGGGTGATGCGAGATGGACCTATAACGGCCTCCTGCCTTATTTCGACAAGATCGAGAAAGACCACATCTCAACTGTGGCAATATCAAAGAGCCACCCTGACCGCAAGTCTCCCTTGAGGGATCAAGTCTTGAAGGCGTGGCTTGATCTTAGACTGAGCCAGATCGAGAACGCCAACGTCGGTGAGCCTTTAGGTGTAGGCGAAGTGGTCGAGAACTTGAAGGAAGGGAAAAGGCAGCTAGCGAGCGCAGCGTTCGATTTGAGAGACGTCAAGGTCATGACAGAAACTGCGGCACAAAAGGTGCTTCTCGAAAATCGACAGGGAAAACTTACCGCTGTAGGCGTCCAAATCCATGGCGAGAGACATTTTCTGGCATCCAAAGAGGTCATCCTCTCGGCAGGAGCATTTCGCACACCACAACTCCTCATGCTGAGTGGAATTGGTCCAGCTGCAGACTTGGAGGAAGCGAACATCCCAACACAGCTTGACTTACCTGGCGTCGGCCTGAACTTCCACGACCACCTCCTGGTCGGATTCGCTTTTCGCCTCAAGAACCCTTCACTGGGCCTTGCCATGGGAGGTGTAGCCGGACCCTGGGCAGAGCCAGCACATCAATTGGGCCTTCCTGTGGACTGGGTTGTGACCGAGAACGTGCCGAGGTCCTTTCTGGAGGAGGCTGTGAAGAAAGATATGGTCGGCGACTCATCTGGAGATGGAGACACATACCCTGTCTCGCTTCTCGATTCCGAGTCAGTCCACCTTGAATCAATCATGATGTACGCCCCTGGTGGCCTACCCATCACCAACCTGCATGTTCCTTTTGATGGAACACATATAGGTGCTGTGGTGGGGGTTATGTCGCCGACGTCCCGAGGCAGAATCGGTTTATCTTCCTCGTCAGCATTGGACCCCCCAGTCATCGATCCCAACTACAACGCAACAAACGTCGATCGCGCGCTTATGCGTTATGGAATTCGCCGCTTGCTTCAAGCTGTTCAGCACTCCATGTCGGACGTGGTCGAGTCTGAGAACCCTCCGCCTTCATTCGAGGCCCTGTCATATACATCTTCTGATTCAGCAATTGACGCTCGGGTGCGGTCCGAGGCTCGCACGTTCTTCCATGCCGCAGGGACAGCAAGTATGGGTCCCGTGGTGGATACGCAATTGCGAGTAAAGGGCATCGATGGTCTGCGAGTTGTGGATGCCAGCGTCATCCCAATACCAATTGGTGCACATCTGCAGGCTGCAACCTATGCCATTGCCGCGCAAGCTGCGGACATGATCACGCAAGAAAATGGACGGCGATGATACTCACATGGGTTAGGCGAGGCTGCAAGGGGCGGCTCCGAGGTTGTCGACTTCACGACTCGGCGAGTTGCTGTCGGTCTTCTCCTGATCCACTGAACGACGATCAAGCGAAGAGTCCCCTGGACCAGCAGGGAGCACATCTCGTGCTTGCCAAGGAATGACTCTCTATCCCATCTGGAATCCTTGTCCTTGTACGCTCATAGATCGATTGTGGTGGTGGCGTGACAGTCGCAGCCTGAGATTCTGGGTGTAGCTCAAAATCCGACTTAGTGTGAAGAGCAATACAGTGTACCATGTGTCGACTCGCCACATCGTAGTCATTGCCCAAGAACAGACCATGAATTGTACCACTGGGGGTGGGTCGATTTCCCCAGATTCAGCGATGCTAGTCTCCACCAACAGACCTGAGGTCAGAGGCTGGGACGGCCAAGCTAGCCTAGCATTGGCATGCCGTGTTCGTCCAGTCATATCCACAGGGGCATGCCGAGAAAGCCCGTTGATCTGCAATGCAGCCGCACTGCCTGAACCATTGTTGAAGTGCAAAGGTATTCGTATGGAAATGTCATTGTGAGACCTTGGCGCCAACGTGGCAACTTATCTGAAGATGACGGCCAAGGTGCCAGGAAGAGGGGTAAATACGTACAATATGGTTTGGAACGACATCAGACCGCTGGGCAACAATGGCCAAGTACCTTGGAAGAGAAGAGGCATTCCTCGCCCCAGAATGCCATGCCTGGGCAAAGATGATGAGGCCAACAGCATAAAGACCCTGACCTCACAACTCCCAGCCCTTGCAAGAATGTTTCGCTTACGTTGAAGCTGTGAGCATGAGATTGGAGGCCAGCAGACTTTGAACAAAGAACTTTCGAGATCCAGAGCCACAGGTAGCTGAAGCCATCATGTCGTCGACAGATCAGAAATACAACGACTCAACGGGCCACTTTTCCGACATAAGTACGCATGAGCAACCGCAAAGAGTGAATGAAGACCAACTGGACTGGGACCAACACGCGGAGAATAAGCTGGTTCGGAAAATCGATTGGCGACTCATTCCAATTTTAGGAGCTCTGTATTCCATTGCCCTGATTGATCGTGTCAATGTAGGGTGCCCACCCTCCCATCTGGATTCCATTAGCGCTGACTTGACCAGATCTCCAATGCACGGATTGCTGGTATGGGAGAGGATCTGGATTTGGATGTGGGAAACCGATATACTGTCGTCTTAGTGGTGTTCTTTCCCCCATACTGCGTGTTCGAGGTACACGACTTTGCATGTGACGTCTCAGAACTGTCGAACTGAAACCGCAATAGCTACCTTCCAATATTGTTCTTCGTCGTGTGGGAAGTGCCAACTGGCTCGCATTCATTGCGTTCGCGTGGGGATGTGTCATGATCGGTCAAGTACCAGGCATCAATGATCCTGCCATGTGTCTTGTACAACTGACGCAAGCATAGGGGTTTGTCAAGTCGTACGAGGCTCTCGCCGTCTGCCGTACGTTGCTCGGTTTCTTTGAGGCAGGTAAGAAAAATTGTCTCCTCGACCCTAGAAGTGAACTGATGACATGCTGCAAGGCTTCTTCCCTGGATGCGTGTACTTGATCAGCTGCTGGTATAAGCGGTACGAGGTCCAGAAACGGTATGCTGAAGAAAATCTTTTGGAGAATTGGCTCCTAATGCTTCAAGCCTCGCCTTCTTTTATCTCATGTCCGTCCTCGTCGGCGGTTTCTCGAATATCCTTGCATATGGCCTGATGCAGATGGAGGGCGTGGGCGGCCTGCGCGGGTGGCAGTGGATCTTTGTAAGGTGATAGATTCTCGTGTATATCCATTGCTGATGCGCAACAGATCATTGAAGGCCTGTTGACAGTAACCGTTGCCGTCATTGCATGGTTCATCATTATCGACTTCCCGGACAAAGCGGAAAAGAAGGGCCTTTTGACGCACGAAGAAGCTTCATTCATCATCCGGCGGATTGAGGATGACCGGAAAGATGCTGTCCCTGATCCACTCACGTGGGCAAAGTTCTGCCATCACCTGAAGGACTGGAAACTCTGGGTCTTGTATGTCCATCGTCCTCCCTAGTTCTTGTCTGCCACTGACGATTCCAGTTCGATGATGTTTATGTCGACGGCTAACCCCGCGTATGCTTTTGCGTACTTTATGCCAGTGATCATCCAGGTAAGCCACGTGCTGCCGATTGCCCATGGACGGCAAAGCTAATCTGTAGCAGGGGATGGGATATACTGCCGGGGTTGCGAACTTACTTTCGGCGCCCCCAGTCGTTGCTGCAGTGATCAGCGCTTTGACATTTGCATGGGTTGGCGATAAGTACCACAGACGTGCTCCCGTGATTCTAGCCCAGGCACTCATCGTGCTTATTGGGCTTATGATCACGGCCTATCACGGCTCTGACGGCGTCCGATATTTCGGAATCTTCCTTGGTGTTGCCGGCTGTCAAGGCAATGTCCCGGCCATTCTTGCCTATCAATCCAACAACATCCGGATGCAGTCAAAGCGAAGTGTAGGCAGCGCGCTTCAGATCGGGTTTGGAGCTATTGGTGGCATCCTCGCTTCCACCACCTTTCTCCAGAAGGAAGCTCCGACATATAGAAGTGGGCTGTGGACTACCGCAGGGTTGCAGCTCTTCATCATATGCTCTGTCTGCTGCACATCGGTTTATTTCTGGAAGAAGAATGGCCAGGTCGATACCGGGACTTTGGAGAAGCCGATCGAGGGACAGGAGGGATTCAAATACACTCTCTAGATTGGTGAGGAATGGCGCGATCAAGGTCGTCGTGTGAGGGTGAACCATGTGGCCCTAGGGACTTACCACGAAATATCTTCGTCACAGGTCTGGGAGAGAACGCTGTCCGTAGTCAAACATAGGCAGAGGAGAGTGGATGAAGTAGTGGTGGTGGTGGTGGTGGTGGTGGTGGTAGTCAATCCTGAAGATGAGATATGCACTTCATGCTTTCCTGCGACTCCGTACAACTTCGTCTGAGCATTTAACCCGGTAACCGCATATTCAAAGAAACTCCCAAACTTCGCTCGCGCTGTGTGACATTGAATGGACAAGACACCCTTTTCAGCGCTGTGGTAAATAGTTTTGTCAGTCACCGTGGCTTCAACTATGCCAGGACACTGGGGTGATTCAAGCAAAGACCGCCTCTTTGCCTTGAAGAACCGCAAAAAATAAAAATAAAAAAAACTTGTCACACAAACACACCCTCTCTCTCTCTCTCTGTCTCTCTCACAAACCATGCCGAACAAGAAATCCAAGCCCAGTGCCTCCAAGGGCAAGGGTCCTGCTCAACCCCCTGGTCAGGCAAAGGCGACCGCATCGGCGCCCTCTCCAGCTGTCCAAGAACCGGCCCCCTACATCCCTCTGACCCTCCCGAAGCCGGACGCCAACGACGACTTTTGGATCAAGAACGCACGTGCGAAAGCTTTGATCTTGTCAACCTTGGTGCCGGGGAGCGAAGCATGGAAGGTTGCCGAACCGGTCGAGATCGCGTCAGACATCTGGAGGGCATTGGAGGACCACTTCACCACGAAGCGTCCCAATGTCCGGGCAAAACAAGGAGGTTCTGGGGAAGCGAGTGGCAACAGCGCAGTTGTTGGTGCCGATGCCAGCGCAAGCAAGAGTGGTGTGGACCTCGTCAATGGCAAAGCCTCATCGTCTACGAGCTCCAGCTCAGGCCCCATTGCTAAGAAGCCGCTGGAAAACATGGACAAGCCGTCAATACCGCAACAGGACGGTACCGCAGCCTCTGGGCCTTCAACACAGGCTCCTTCGCATGCAGAGCACACCCGCAACCCCGCAGACTTGGCCAACAAGCTCGAGAAAGGGAAGAAGAGCTCAGCAGTGATCAAGGCGCAGCTCGAGGAGACGGTCCTGGCCCAGAATCGATCAGATGTCCAAGGTCCAGCCCAACCCCAGGTTCAACCAGAGCTTCCGTCTCAATCGCAATCGCAAAACCAAGCCCATGCTGCAGCCAAACCTCAGCCGCAACAAGCCCAAACTCAAGCTCCAGCTCCAGCTCCAGCCCAAGCTGAAGGCCAGACGCAACCCGCGGCGCCCGCCCAGCCGTCCCCGCCCGAACAAGGCATCCCACGCCTCTCGACGCTCACACCCCCCGGACGCTGGACCGCGCAACCGGTCAAACACGACAGCTACCTCAGCGAGCACCAAGCGCTGGTGTTTGCGCAGGACGACCCGGACCGCAAGAAACAGATCCAGGTCGCCGCCACGAAGGTGCTCATGCAGAAACTCCCCACGCGGGACATGCGGCTCCTGTGGGCCGTGCTCTATGGGGGCGAGGACGCCCCCTGGCCCGGGTCGTGCTCGGCCGTCATCCCCGGCGTGACGACTCTGCGGTGGCAGAACAAAAGCTACGAGATGGACTACGAGACGCTGGGGTGGAGTTGGAACAATAGTAACAATAGCAAAGGGGACGACAAGGGCTGAGATCGGGACAGCGGTGGTGTGGACTAATATAACAAAATGCTGCGTGCGGTGTTCGTTTCAGAGGGTATCAACACAGGCGACAGAGTCGTCCGTCCAGGCAAAGTCTGAACCCAATTCCCGCTCAGAAACGGGGATCGCACGCACCACCCAGGTCTCTCAAATCACAACGGAATCCCAAATCCCCCAGCAACAACCAAAGCGAGCAACGATCCCACCAAGACAGCCAACACAGTATTCAGCTTCGGCACCGTGACCTGTACGGCGGCACTCTTTGCCTTGATATAGGAGACATTCTGCGCCAACGAGACAATATCCCTCGTGGCATGTCCCGTCTGTGCCAGCTGCCTCAACTGATCTCCGAATGTGGCCAGAATCCTGGTACTCCTGCCGGCCGGACAGAAGACGACTTCGAACCCTCCGCCCTGGGGAATGATGAAGGTGGAGGTCTGGTCGTCATACGCATAGCTGTATGCGTCGGGACACAGCTTCTTGGCCTGTTGCGAGTAGAGGCTCGGCGAGCAGGTTGCCGGTGTGCCGTGGTCACCGGTACAGCAGTACTTAGCTTTGTTCCACTTTGCACAGGCGCTCAGGCAGGGGTTGAAGATGGGCCGCTGGATGTTGTCGTCCGGGTAGGGATAGACGCCGTCGCCCGGTTTGGTGGGCGGCGTGAGTTGCAGTGGCCAGGGACACCAGTCTTGTACGAAGGAAGAAGTCACAGACTGGTCCAGGGGGAGCGGATAGGTCGAGTTCGTGCCAAAATCGACATCGGGGGCGTCACCCACGGGCGCGAGAAGAGACGAGGTGCCAATGCAGACCGGGTTGGTCAGGTTGGGAGGGATGTCGGTGAGGTTTGCGTTGTCGGTCTCGCTGAGCAAGGAGATGATACCCATGGGGATGTTGTAGCCGTCGACCAGCGAGATGTCGTAGAAGCATTGGTTGGTGTCTGACGACATTGTGAATTCTGCCAGTGTAGCTGGTGCTTGTCCCTGCGCAAGGCTCAGCGAACGTTCAATATCAGCTACGTACGTTGCACAGAGAGAGTCTCATGTCAATTTGATTCGTCTACTCACTCTTGGAAGGACATGATGTGAACCACCAAAAGGGGGGAAAAAAAGGAGGAGAATTGACTCACTGCACCCTGACACTCCAAGAACATGCCACAATCGCCCGTCTGGCAGGGACTGCCTCCCTGCCCACTCGAAGGCGGCAGAGGCGGTAACGCCGACGTCGACCCCGTCGTCGTCGTGGGAAAACTGCAATTGGTGCGAGCCCACACGCGGCCTTTCCAGTCGAGCCCGACGGTCTGGGACTTTGTGGCGCCCGAACCGAGCAGGAAGCCCGAGCTCGCGGGGCCGGTGCCGGACTGCGTGAGGATGGCGGGCCAGATGGGTTCTTTGCAGTTGTTGGTGACGCGGAGGGGGAGCATCGTGACGGCGGCGGCGGTGGGGATGGTGGAGAGGAGGATGAGTGCGGCTGAGAGGGGAGATATGGTATGGGATGTGCGACGGGAGTGTTGGTGCTGGTGTTGTCGTGGTCGTGGTCGACGCCTCTTTAGGTGCTTCCTCTCTAGACGCAGACACGTCTTTGCGACACCGTCTCCAGCCATGGCGATATAGAGCCGTTGACAGTCAGACGGGAGCTTGGTTGACTGTGATGCCCAGGGTATCGGTAGGTCAGGGGCCTTTCCAGTCTCGGCATATATCAGAATACTAGATATTTCGACGCCGTTCCAGGTCCAGCAGACAGAGTATTTCAATTATCGTTTATCCTTGGCTTCCCAAAAACGAATACTAGTGACGGGCTGGTAGGTTGATGTAATGCGCGGATGGGAGTTTTAATGATGTTTAGGGTAATATTGATGTTCGCGTTTGCTGCTTTAGTCCTGTCTTTTCAATTTCGTCAACGACAAGGACGCTGGGACTCAGTCGCCGTACGTGTTGTTTGACAGCCTTGGGATGGTCTGAGGGAAGTCGCGATCCAGATCTGGGAAACCTCTCGCTACCCAAGGTAGATATATCAGAAGAAAAAACTGCCAGACTCGCCAGTCTAGGGTTTCCCAAATCTTGGATCGGACTCCCGGGGCGCCCAGTGTCGATCATAAACAGCACGCTGGATCGTGTTGGGGTGATCGGAAACCAAAGACGAATGGGGGGAAATGGCCACGCGTCGAGAGAGCGGACTTGGTAGTTGAACGAGAGGGTAGCAAGGGGACGAAGACGTCTCCCTTTCCTCAACTGCAGGATTGTCGAAGAATACCATGGCACACATGGCTTAGCGATTTGGATCTGGTTGCCCGATCATCGTTGTGCCCAGATGATCGACCCCCAAATCCTGCCTTGTACCCTGCTTGATTGTATGTGCGTACCGAGTACATCCAGTAAGTCGGGCGACGAAAGATATGCAGCATGATGTCATAGTAACTGAATGCGGAAGAGATCCGGTGGCGGTGCACAAGCTTCTATTCGTACCTGTGGCGTATGAGGCTCGAGATGGCTACGGGCCGGGCGCGCTAGGCTCTGAATGGAATAAAGCCCCACATCTGCCTTGCCCCAAAACAGGTCCTTTCAAGGCCAAGCTACACCAAGCTTCATGTGCTCGGTATACCAGTTGCTGACCCAATATCACGCAGTCAGCGAAACATGCTTGCTAAACAGGAACTCCGCAATCCCATATGCAGCACCATTGCTTCCCCATCCACTTCCCTTGAATCCCGTCTGTGGCGCGGCGACTGCATTGACTGTCAGTAACTAACCTCAACAAATGCAGAGAAGTATCCTTTACCGTTGACAGACATGGTGCGCGAGTTGATCTGGACCTGTCCAAACTCTAGGTCTCGTGCCAGAGCCAGTCCTTTGGCATGGTTTCTCGTAAAGACCGATGCAGATAGACCGTACGGGGTGTCATTCGCCAGGGCCAAGGCTTCCTCGTCACTGTTGACCACATACAAACTCGCAGACGGAGCGAACGACTCTTCGCGCGAGAGCCGAGATTTTGGGTTCACATCCATCAAGATAGAAGGCTCGAGAGACGTTCGGCCCGTTAACTGGGCGCTGCCGACGAGGAACTTGGCACCATCAGCCACAGCCTCTTCGATGATGTCCTGAGACCGTTTTGCCCCTTCTACCGTGATGGCGTGGCCAGCCGAGGGCAGAGCTTTTGTGGCTTCGACAAGTACCCGGGAGAAGTCCTGGGCCACTTTCTCATGGACAATGATTCGCTCAGTACCGAAACAGATCTGACCGTGATGGGCAAAGGCTGGAATACCGTGAGACATGTATCATTCTCACAGTCGGGATGGGAGATAAGGACCTACTAGCTCGAACACAATTCTCTGCAGCGGTTTGCAAATCTGCGTCCTCCAGGACAAGCACAGGGCTTTGATCTCCTAACTCCATCAAGACAGGCTTCAGATGCTTGGCTGCCACGGTGCCTATAATTCGTCCGACTGCGGCACTGCCGATGAATTCGACCTTTCTCAGAGCCGGATGGCTGATGATGGCTTCGGTGACAGCAGGACCTTCAGAACGGGAGCATTGAATCTTGTTCAGTGCCCCGGCTGGAAGTCCTGCTTCCGCGAAGACTTCAAGAACCAGTTGGTGAGTCCACGGGCACAGTTCGGAGGCTTTGAAGACCACTGTGCAGCCTGCTGCGAGAGCAGCAGCGATGCCACGGAAGGCTAGAATGATTGGAGCATTCCATCTGCCACCGTGCTGGTAAGATAATGCCAACTTCTCAGAAACGGATGGTTCGACTTACGGTATGATGGTCAGAACGACACCAACGGGCTCTCGAAACACCAATGAAGTTGTTCCTGGAACCTCAGAGTCCGGTATGCTCCCGCACACGGTCGAGACATTGGCAGAGGTCTCTCTCACAAATTTTGACGCAAAGATCACCTCAAAACCTGGCCAGTGCGCATCACAACTAGTCTCTGGAATCTCTCGTTTGGCCAACTCGTCGACCTTAGTCTCCAAGATGTCAGCCGCTTTGTTCAATATTGCCCGCCGTTGCGAGAGTGGAGTCTTCCTCCACGTTTTAAAGACCTCAGCAGCAGTCTCGACGGCATGAACTCCGACGTCGACGGTTGCGCTCTGGGCGTAATGGATCGTGTCCCCAGTTGAACCTTGAATGACAGGGAAGTTCTGAGTTTCGGGCAGAGACACGACCTTGCCTCCAATAACATTAGGCACCACGGTAGCCCCGGAAGGCGATCTCTGGACATACATTGGTAAGATTGAGAGGGAAAATTTTCGTCCTATAGTCTTGACCGCCACGATTGAACGGACAACGAAGTATTAAATACCTTCAGAGTGTGCGACCTGAAGTCACATGGATCAGGTTACCAGGCCACCAAGGCCTAACCCTCAGTTTCCGACGTCAGCTAGGCGCTCAGTTGCCCACATGGCAGTGTAGTGTGAATTGTCTTCGCCAACGATACCTAAAAGTAAGTCATTCTTTCGACGTTGGTGGCCTAACCTTGTTGTTCATTGCACTGGGACAGATCAACATCCTTGTAAGCGTTTCATTGAGTGTTGGCAGAGTGCTGTGCGGGCCTCTGGTCTTCAGCCGAACATGGCAGCGTTCGGCCGTCTAGGATTATTTGTATCTCTCTCACCTTTGAGGTCCGGCGACCAAGTTGTGGGGTTTCTTACAAGCCATTTATTAGAACCAACAGTAGGCAAGATGCTGTCTGCGCAAACTTACTGGCGAGGTCCGTATCAGAACAACGCCTTTTTGGACAGACGCACGTCGCATTCTGCTTCCGCGTTGTAATGTTGGTCTCCGGACATGTGAACGGGACATCAAGAGAGGTCTTGGTTTCACAGTCTCAAGCGGAGCTAGGAGCCCGCTACTCACACCCTGCACCGCGAGAAGGTGCCTCTCTATTGCAAGGCGCCCTCCTCTTTCCAAAGTCCCGCAGGACCGATTTTATACCTTATTGCGTGGGACTTGTGAATCCACCATCATCAAACCCGCAGGGCTTGTTTTCAAAGTCCTTTAATGCCCTCTCTAGACAAATGGGCGGATTCAAATCCGAGAAATTTGATCATCCAAGCCACACGAGGACTTGTAGGCGGTTGATGCTGATGCTGACGGGCAGCATTTTTGAAATGGGCCCCTCCCTCTCCTCGACGACTGGCAAGTTCACGTGTGGCGCCGATTGAAGTGTTTGCAGGGTGGACTGGGACGGGTTAGTAAGTACAGGAATGAGGGTTTGGCAAAGACTCGTACATCAACTTGTTCATTCAGGAGATTCATAATGACGCTAGGATATTGGATGGTTGTGCCTTTTGTCTTTGAATGTTTGACGTAAGTGGTGCAGCAGCGATGGCTGTCATCGATTGGATATTGTTGTTGTAATGAGTGAATGAGTGTATGTAGTGCTGATTTTCTCATTGTTGGTATTGCAGGACTTTTGGCTTGTAAATTATGCCGGCTTTGTATTGTTGCAGCTGAAAATATATTGCTGGGATTCGTTGCACATTCGATACTATCCATAGACATATACTTGAAGATGGTTGGAATTGTTGCTGATTGATTTGGATTGGTGATGATGATTTGTCGCAAATATTGATTCAATAACCCGGGGCGCTTTCAAACATAGAATCCTGCAAATCGATGCCGTGAGTGCTCGTAGTTGTGGTTGGGCCGATGTAAGAGTATTGAGGTTGAGGTAGCTGCCACATCGAATACAAGCCAGGCGGTGGTGGAGGAGAGCGAGGTGGCGAATAATAGGCTCCGTGGGGTGGTTGCTGATTCTGATAGATCTGATTATATGCACAAAATGCGGGAGGACACCATTCCTGCTGAAAAGGAACTGGCGGGAAGTACCCCGGAGGAGGAGGAGGAGGAGGAGTAAAAGGTCGAGGTGTCAAGTGCCCTTGCCAGAAAGGAGAGGGTGCTGGGATTGCAACACATGCTGAAGCCGGTTCCGGAGTTGCTGGTCTCGAAGGGGCGAAAATGGTTGAGATGGTTCGAAGAACTGTGATCATATAGTCGTGTCCGTGATCTGAGGTTCCGGTGTGCTTGTGGAGCTCGGCTGTCTGCCTTCGCAGGTTGATGGCGGTCTGAAGGTTTTCGAGTATGTTCTCGGGCATTTGGATGCCGTCTTGAACGGCCGAAACTGCCAATTGGAGATGCTTGTTCAGGGGAATTGTGCTCGGCCGGTTGTAGAGAGCCCTGATCCACGACAGAACATTGTCTGTAGCTTGTTTATATCGGCCATAGATCTTGCCATATTCTGGATTGACGATAGCCATATTGCAGAGATCTGAGATATTTGTGTAGATAGCTGATTATCACGATAAGATTGAGGATGTATTCGAACGGTTTGTCCGAAATGAGTGGTGTGTCGAGCTATGTGGGACTGTTGGTGCATCCGGATCTGTAGAGAATGTGTCCGTTGCTGTATTTGCTGCTCTAAGAGCGAGAGCAGGCTGATTGAGCTGCGTAGTACGTTACGAGCTGGAGAGTGTGTCGTGTGGTTATTGTCGGTTCGAGCCTTCAAACTGTAGAGACAGGCAAGGGACGGCATCTTGGGATTTATACTCGGCGTGTGGAGGCCACAGAGATGTTTCAGAAACGTGTACACCGGGACGATATTGATGGGAAAGGTAAAAGTAGTGGGAAGTTTCTCTGAAGGCATCCCATGCGCGCGACAGCTCACCGGCTTTGGTGAATGTTTTGATTGAGAACAGGGGGAAACGTACCATCTTCCTCATCCAGCTCAATCAAACAATCATTGGTTGCATTCTCTGACCCAGACTTTCGATTGAATGGTCCAGCCTTGGATCACGGTTGTTGGGAACTCGCGAAGACTGATCCAGGAAAGCAGCATACAGATTTGAGCGCATTCGGAGTCGCCTTCCGGCACAGAAAATCGCACGTGGCTAGGCGTATAGTGGCCCATGGTTTGCCTGGGGAAAACCGAAGAAGAAAACGCGCTAACCTTCAAATCTTGACACGGTGGGACACTGGCAGGGTATCTGGAGAGCAGCCTGTTTCTCCTATCCGGGATGGAGCATGAAGGTGCTTGTAGACTTGAAGAGCGAGTGGACATCACTGTTTTGCATTGGGCGGGAAGACCTTGGTTGACCAAGCACTTATGAATGTACACCAGGCCCTTCATTCTTTTTCTGGCTGACTGCGTGGCTGGAATTACAGATCTGTTCGCCCCGTGTGTGACCACATGGTCAATGCGCAGACTGAACCAATGTTGGACGTGATATCGTGTCATTTGGTAGATTGTCCGAGCCATTTTGTACCATAAGGAAGCGCCAATTGGCATCTTGTGAGTGGAGCACAGAGCACATGCATTGACTTTCAACCAAACTCGAAGCAAAGTCTGTGCCAACTCAGCAAAATTAGAGAAGGCAGGTCTGCTGAGGGTTCGGGGGACAGTTAGGGGGCAAGCCCAATGTTGAACAGTTTAGATGCATTGGTTGACCTTCCGATTCCTCGTCCTCAACGTGCCCAAGGGATGACTGCCAGGAATTGTAGTGCGAGGGAACTTTCAGGGTGGAGGGCATTTCCGGATGCATAAGGTGGCAGAGTCCGCTCAAACATGGGTCCAAATCATACATGGAGACTCGTCACAAAATGAGGCCAACTACCTGATGAGAGCGAAAGTCAGCAACAATAGCAGGTGATGAATGTTGTTGTCGGCGGAGAGATGGGAGGAAGACAAGATGGTGGTGGCTTCGCTGTGGCTTTGCGAGAGGCGCAGGGTGAGTTTCAGATCAATCACGGAAAAACCTTTATCCTTATCCCGCTTTACATCTCGATGCCTAGGAAAGGCCAAAGCGCAGCTTTTGACGAAAAGGCCAATTGGAAAGTGTTGTTATTTTCTCAGATATATCTAGGGGTATATATTGTAATAATATGAAGTCCCTGACCACTTCGGAAAATCTCATTACCCACGCAGACCGCCTAGCATCCGGCCATTCATGGCCGGAGCAAGAATCTCAAGTAAATCCCACAAATCCATTGTAACCCCAACGCCGCGCGATGCGAAAACAAGGTCTTCAATAGCATCATAATTGACTATTTGTAGAACCAGTAGGTTGCCGAGTACTCCACGCTGAAAGCTGCAGGCATGTCTGCACATGTCGCAGGTGGCTGTCCACCAGCGGTGTCCAAACGGTAGACAGCCTTGATGTCGCCTTCAGTGGTGGATCGAGATGTCAGGTAAAGCCAGGGAACCGCGCCATTGCCAGTACCGCTGACGCCAGCCACAGCATTGGCTGGGGCATCGGAAGAGTGCTCCTTCTGTGCAAAGACGGTGCCAAGTTCTGGAGACTCGGGGACGTCAAAAGCAAAGACCGGAGTGGTGGTATTGGAGAAGAAGTGGTGAGATGAAAGCTGAAGGTCCGAGGGTGAAAGGGGAGCAGAAGGGTCGGAGGGCAGAGGGTATTGTAAGGCCAGGTTGGGGATGAGGGCCAGGAGATCCGGATAATCAGCCGCCACACACGAGGCATTGTAGAATCTTGCAACGGCCCCGACTGCGGCAGGAGTGGCTGTGGCATTGGCACACGTATAGTTCTGTCAAATGTCAGTATACACCCGCGACCAGGATTGAAGAAAACCACATACCTGCACACCTCTACCGATAGCAACATGTTCAAGGACCAATCCTGACGGGCTGGGGAGTGGTGTGGGTGCGATCGGCATGGCAGCTTTCGACACATCACACGTCGGCGAGGGAGAGCCAGGCGTTTTAGCCTGCTGCATATATTGGAAGACGACGTCAAAGTAACCAGCTAATGTCGGCGTCCATTCGAAGGCATCTCGAGTAAGTGGTGCAGCCATCAGTGTAGGCGCCAACGAGGCGAGAAGCATTGTGTACTTCATCTTGGAAAAAAGAAAGTGGTAAAATGGGTATTAATGAAGGAAACTGTCTGGCCCGCAGATTCTTTTTTGGACTGCAAGGAAAGATTCACACTGACTAGTGAATTGTTGGAATGAGCTGTTGAGAACGAGAGCAAAGACTGTATATGAGGACTGAAAGAAACCAGAGGCCATCGTCGAGACCAGCCGCCGCATTATATCAACTTGTCAAGTGGACTGGTATACCGGCCACGGATAGGATGGTTGCTATTCTGATAGTGGATCTCCCACGACGAAGGCGGTGTTTCTATCTTGAGGGCTTTGTCATTGTAATTGGCTCGCCAGCCACGGTGGAGCCATCTTGGCCGCATGAGTGCTGCGAGAAGCGGCAAGGGAGATTTGTCGGCTGCGTGTCTGATCGACGAGGGTTCGGATGTAATAATAGACGGGGTAATTGGCGCCCTGCGGCAGCAAACACCTTGGAATTTGGACCGTCTTGCGCCATCTGGGTTAGCCTGGACATCTAGAGGGCCCTGGTCGGCGAGTAGGGTATTCGGGATGCTGGTCGGGTGGCTGCGTTGTTGGCCTCCGAATGGCAAGCCTCTTGCTGACCTCTCGGCTTGCTCAGGCGTGCTAGGACGTTCGTCTGGTTATTTCCTTGCCGCCGGCCAGCCGGCCAGCCGCCAGCCCACCATCTCAAAGGGCCAATCTCAGATCAGTTCGTGTATGACGTGCAGATGTAGCGCACAAAGCGGGTACGCCTTGTCGAAATCGCTCCCCGAGTCGTTCTTTTGCCTTAGTCCGCGCCCAGAGAAATGCCTTTCTTCAGTTCGGGATGCGTTTCAGGTTTTAAGACACGGGTATCCAACCGAATCTTGCTCGGCGCTTGTCTTAGGACTTATAAACCTGCACAGGCAGCTTTGACAGAAGATACAAGACTTCGAAGGCGCTTCCATCAGCAAGACTGGGACCTTGTCTTCGGGTACCACTCGGGCGTACTGGTGACCAGGCAGACACATGTCTCTCCTAGTTCGGATGATGTTCTTCGGTGCTAAGTACAGAAACATACCGTCGGACCTAATTGCGTATCACTACCAAGGCTGGGCATTATGCGCACGCAGGTCTTGGTTTCGCGTCGTAATTCCGAAAGGAATGCCGGCGGAGCGCAAGACAGCTCTTTTGGGACCCGTGAGTATTTCGTTCAGCTGACGACGGGAGCCAGCTGCCAGAATAGTTTCTGAAGATTTTGTACAGACAGTAGCCAGGGGACGAAACATCGCTTGCAAAGGAGCTGCGTGCGTAGGCCACGTTCCGTCTCGTCTGCGCTAACTGCGACAATGGCAAATGGACCATTCACGTAAGCATCGACTTCGCCTCTTTTGAGCCTTTTCCACAAACGCTTACGAAGCAGGACACTTGGTCGGACTACTTGTAGAAATTGTAGCAAGTCCATCTAACATCCGCGGGTTGTCTTCTCCCTGTTGTTTAGTGCTCACTCTGTCGGATTCCGTATACACAATGGTCGGCGTCTACCACTTCCGCGATGGTCGCCTGCCCACATGACCGGAACGTACGCATTTAGGTTTGGAGGATTCGAATTTGTTGTCACTCTGTGTTGGTAAATAATGCCGGATAGCCATGGAGTCCGTCCGTGGCCTTCAAAATTCTTTTCAAGGAAAACGCGTAATAAAGCCGCGTGGGCCCTTGCAGAGAGCTCGTCTTTGATGATGACGGTGAGTCGGTAGAAAGAGAAGGACATGTGAGGTGCAAGAGGATTCTCTGTATGACGCAAAATGAAGCCGTAGACTATGAGATGTCCACCGCAGCAACAAGTAAGCACTCCTGGCGATGCAGCTTTACATACCAGAAGCTATCCAAATTCCTGCTGATGCCAATCTGGGTCGTGGAACTCAGGTGAAGGAAGCCCTGCGCCGCCAACCGCAGCCGCTGCTGCTGCTTCGCCCAGATGGACAACGTTCCGATCAACATCCATGGTGCCCATCCAGTAGAGCATCACGAACACCAGCATGTGAAGAGCAAGACAATAGCCGGCAAAGACATTGCGCGAAGTCCTGGTAGCGAGAACGACCCTCGTTAAGGAAAATATGATCCTTTCAGGGAAGCTCATGCGTTTGTAAGCACGTGTAGCTTCCCGGCCACGAAACGCGGCAAAAGGAGAAATATTAGCCTCGTATTGTGACTTCCATCGACCGGTCGTGCTGTCATCCACATGAACCGCCGTGTGTCCCGGTGGTCCAGAAAAGGATGAAGATGTCGTTGGGCCCCGATTGTACGCTGAGATATATCGTGTTTTTTCGTACAAGTTCAAGTTATCCTTCTGAAGCGAGGCAACTTCTTGACGCAAGGAAGTTACTGTTGCATAAGTCTTGGATAGCTCTTCTTCAAGTTGCTGGTTCTTCTGCTTGAATCGATCTCTTTGAGCCTGGATCATCGGCAAAATGCCAGCGCCCCCACCAACTGGTTCTCCTCCTCGTAGTGTCTCAAATGTGTTTGTTCTCGGCTGCATATCATAGCCAGAAATAATGGAAGATGTTGGCGATGATGCCCTTCCTCGTCGTAAAGAACCCATGGGATGCCGAGACACGTAGGTTCCAGCGACAGACATCCCGGAAGAGGGAAGTGCATTTGCAGCCTCCTCCTGCACACGCATGAGGTCGTTCTCCAGGGTTGAAGAAAGCTTCTGGGACTTCTCTAACTCGGCATTGGTCCTCGACAGCTCTTCTTGGAGCTCTTCAAGCTGACGTTGAAGGTCTTGGTGTGATACTCGCAGCAGCGTCATTTCATTCGTCAGTTTCTTGTTGCGCGCAAGTAGCAGCTGCTCCAAGGATTGCTTCGTCTCAGCTTCCCGGTCAATGGGAGCTTCCCCCCCATCTTCGTCGTCGCCAATTGACAATTCAATTGACCGTAGGGTATCTAACTCCCTTTTCAGATCTTCATAATCAGACCATTTACTGACCTTGGTACGAAGCTCCTCGTTCTCACTTGCGAGTTGGGACCGCTGTCTATCGACTTGACGTAGCTTGTTGTCCCAATCTCTCTTCTCCGTTTCTCTCTCGAACCTTGCGGACTCAATTTTCCGAAGAAGAGAAGAGTTTTCGGACTGCAAGCGTAGAAAGGAAGGATCGTCTTCGACGTTGTGATTTTCAACGCTCTGCGAAGTGGCCTTAGCAAGGTCGACTCGAAGCTGTTCGTTCCTCGCTTCGATCTCCGCCAGACGGGCAGTTGTCTTCTCCAGTTCGTAGGTCATCATCTCCAGCTCTGCAGCGGCAGCCTTAGACGAGGCTGCTTCGGCCGACCCATCTTGAAGTCTTTGAGACACTTCGTAGCTGGCTTTCAATTCTTTGAGTAGCCTGTCCTGGTTCTCGACCTTTTCTTCCAGAGAACGCTCTTTTGCTGCCCAGTTGTTCTGCTTTTCCTCCAAGACATTTGCCCATTTGACTTCAACCTCCTGAACCAGAGCACTAGTTCCAGCCTCAGCATCTTTTCTAGCTTTGCTTTCGTCTTGCAGTTTTCGTTCTGTTTCCTCCAGCTGAGCGGTCAATTTGCTAACTCTAGAGAGAAGCTGCTGGTTCTCAATAGTGAGCTTGGGCACCGTATCCTCAGACGCGACCAGGGAATCGACAGAGGCTTCGAGAAGAGGAAAGGGATCCGGAGCCTCGGACAAAGATTGGTATAATTGGAGGAAGGCGGACGAGGAAGTCTTGCCATGGCCAGTAATCAGGTCAATGAAAGTTTGATACGCTGCAAGAAGTCAACTTCCGCCTAATGCTCCGGGGGAGGGTACACCAACATTTCAAGAGTGTCTTGTATTCAGTCAACTTTGCTGCATCTTCCAATTTCCGAAAGTCTTTCGTCTTCTGAGCGAGTTCCTTTCGTTCGAGCAAGGCGTCTCTCTGCTGAGCGACAATCTCGGAGGCTGTAGAATCTAACTGGGGCATCAACGAGGAAAGGTCGATGTCTGATAAATTAGCCAGCAGTGAGAATAAAGGGTGTGAACATGAACTCACTGCGCCATGCGGCGATTGCCTTTTGAAACTTGTTTTCTGCTTCAACCGGTGGCCTCTCCAGAAAAGATTCAGGACGAGGCTCATCGTCTTCCGCCCGAGGGGCATTGACCTCTGATACCACCATTGCGTCCATCTCGTCAATAGGGGGCAGGGTTCACAGATCCTCCCTTTTGAAGTGCCGCCAACTCGGAGGCTCCATCAGCATTAATGCATTTGCAGAATCCTGTTTGTAGAGCAACAGAGTGAGATGAGCCTTGAGAAGCCTTCGAATTAACGTTGAACGCGTCAACTGTATTGACAACGGGACCGAGCAACGGGCGTTGGAGTTGGACCCAAGACTGCGCCCCGAAATCGAATCTCCCGCAGTAGTGCGTTTTGACCACTACAATGCTCCGCTTGCCGTCATCAACCGCAATACATACTATCGAGTACAACGAGGACAGCACTTTAATGTTCTCTTGAGAGAAGCTTGCTGGACTACTCGCATCCATGGATCTTCTCGCTCGGCGTCACTGAAGGCCGCTTCTCCCTATGGATGGACCCGACCAAGATGGCCAGCGACCTGCAAAGCGGCAGAGACTGGCGGCGCCTGAACCAGGCCCGTATGTCCTTCGTGCTGTTCTCGAGGACATTCCACTGGCGGCAGATGACGGTGATGCAAAGGTGTCAATTACGTGTGTAGAATATTGGAGTAGGTGAGACTGTTTATCCTGCGTTTCCCGCATTCGTCTTACGATGCACCAGACAACAATCTATATGTCGGAACCTCTGCGGCCGAGATCTTACATTTGGTCTCGATCCCTTCTGATCAGGACAACGACAATGCACCTACAACCTTCATTCTTGCCTCGCGACTTCAACCCAGCGGCCACGCCGCATCGGCCGAGTCTCCGAATGCACCAGGCATCCAGCAGATCCTGGTTCTACCAGGTCCTCTAAAAGCCTGCGTATTATGCAATGGCGTCGTCTCGTTCTACTCACTCCCAGAATTCAGTCCGGCATTTCCTAACAGGGAACCCACTGGCGTCCAGTGGATTGGTGGCATTGACGAGAATGAAGACAAAGAGAACCCGGAGGGGCCTGTGGTGATGATTGCAAACTCGCGAAGAATCATCTTGGTCAGGGTGGGGGAGAGGCTGCGGGCAATCAAAAATAACATCGAATACCCCGGCTGTTTGAAATCGAGCAGAAGAGAAACGATTGCATGCGTGGCTGATGACACGAGTTATGCGCTCCTGGAGGTAGAACACCAGCAGAAGATTCCCCTGTTTCCCATCTCATCACAGCCTACCGTTGATGATATGCTGGCCGAAAACGATGGGCGTGCTCCAGCACAGTCTCCTCCACCTGCAGAAGCAGCTGGTCATGCTCGAAGCACAAGCATGGGGAATCTGATCGGCTCGCCAGAGGACGGTTCCCACGGACGCCAAGAGTCTTCTCATCTAATGCCTCCAGATACGGCATCCGCTGGCTCAGCCCAACCCTCGTCATCACCTACTAACCTCTCGACCACCGTCGGAGGTGCAGATGGGAGTGGACGTCCGAGAGCGCGCCCCCGTGCGTCAACCGAGGCACTTCCCGCCAAATCATCCGCTGGCATCAGTAGCAAACATTCTACCAAGCGTCTCAAACCGCATATCCTCTCTCCCTTTCCGACGGAGTTCATGTTAACTACGGGCACGATGGAATCTGAGCCCGGAGTTGGTATGTTTGTGAACCTGGATGGTGACGTTGTTCGAGGGACAATTGACTTCGAAAGTTACCCTGAGGATCTGCTTGTGGACAACTTCGCCGTGCCAGAAAACGAAGGCGCCCCACGCTCGGAAGATGAAGGTAAAATCATCTTCGCTCTTCTGCGAAGTGTTCAAGAAGGCGTAACAGAGAGAAAATTGGAAATCCAGCTGATCGAGAATGCATCCGAGCTCGCGCACCCTCGCACCTGCGTTGGTTTGCCATCAAGTGGATTTGAGAATGCTCCCGCCGGCTTGCACCACACGCTGAGCACGCATAGCCATTTCTTCAAAGCCCCGGGACAATTGTTGCAACTAGTACCACTTCCCATCAAGTCTTTGAGACAACGAGAGATCGCTCAAGCTGAGAGTGATCCAAGGACAAAGTCTGCTGTGGAACAGGTGGAGCAAGAGCGCGCTCTGTTTGAGAATCAATCCTTGAGTACTCCTGTCGAGCCGTCGAACGAGCTCGTAAAGAAGCGTGCTATTGAAGAAGAAATGCTTGCTGGTCGCCTCGGACGCGCTTTCACGAGAAATTTGGTTTGGCACGGTAAAGATCTTCTCATGATCTTACAAAATCCCTTGATCTCGCAACTCGAACATCGCTTGATGCAGTATATGATTGACAGCCAACCTGCTAATGTGACTCCTGGTCAAATATTCGGGTTCTTGGCTAGTATTCACGGTCGCGAACCGAAGGATGAGACGGAGTTCCTCACCCTGAACTACATCAGACAGAAAGCCAGCTTGATTTTGTTTTTGTATCTGGAGACACAGCTTTCAGGTGCCTCAACCCTTCAGGACATATTCCGAGCTGTCGAGAACGCATTGCATGATGGTGGGCTAGATCCGCGCATCGTGCTCCTCCTTCTACCTCCACTCTCGTCGGAGGTCTTGTACGGGCCAGAAGGCATCTGGCTCCATCAAGGTATGGCAGATCTCTTGCAAGATCATCGATCGCCAATCTCTAATTTTGAGGATGCCCCGACCGAATTTTGGATGATGATGAGACACTTCTTGATGCTGTGGCAAGAGAAGCGCGGCTATGGAAGCATTGCAGATGACAAACACGTATTTGATTCTGTTGATGCGTCGTTGCTCCATGTCTTGCTCTATTTGGACCAAGCATTGGCCACAGACAGTCCTGCCCAGAGATCAGTGCGAGCCAAATTGAATAATGTTGTCGATCAGTGGAAGGGCGACTTTGAGCGTGCGACATTGCTACTGGAACGGTACAATAGACTCTATATTCTGAGCCGGCTCTATCAAAGTAGGAAACAAGCTCAAGATGTCCTGGCGACTTGGAAACGGATCATCGATGGAGAGAGGGATGTGGACTATGGTTCGAATATTGGCTATGTGGAGGTCCAACTACGCCGCTACTTGACGGTCATTCGAGATATCGAACTGGTTCAGAGTTATACTCTGTTGCTCGCACAGCGAAATCCGGAGCTCGCCGTCCAAGTTTTCACAGACGACGCTGCACGGGTGAAGTTCAGCCCTCAAGAGGTAGTTCAACTTCTCAAAGACCAAGCACCGGGAGCGGTCCAGCAATACCTGGAATATCTTGTGTTTGGCAAAAATCTCGGACAGTACGCCGACGACCTCATCGGCTATTACCTCGACACAGTTCTGACTGTCCTGGAAAAGTCAGAATCCGCTCGCACGTCGCTAGCAGAAAGCTATTCGACCTATCGAGCTCTTGAGTCGCCCAAGCCGACCTATCTTGACTTCATTCATCAAAACGCCCCTCCAGAGCCATGGTGGCAATCACGTCTCCGTCTCCTCCAACTTCTAGGGAGTGGCGCATACGCATCCACAGGCACCAGCGACGCTGGAAAGGATCTGACTTACTCGGTCTCCATGGTCCTCGAGCGCATGGCACCCTTCTCCTCCTATCTCGTTTCGGAATCTGTGATCCTCGATGCCCGTCAAGGCCGTCACAAAGAAGCCCTTCGCCTTCTGACACATGGGTTGGGTGATTATGATACAGCCACACGATACTGCTACTTTGGCCGTCCTTCACCCCTCTCCTCCTCCTTTCCCATTGATCCAGCCAGCTTACCATCCAGAACGAGCCAGATCGAACTTTTCACTTTCCTTTTCCACGAATTTCTCTCCATTCACGACGTTGAGGAACGCCTTGAACGCACGTCCTATCTTCTCGGGAAATTCGCCACCTTTTTTGACCCTCTGCAAATCCTCAGAGATATTCCTGATGATTGGACCGTGGAGATGCTGAGTGAATTCTTAGTGAGGAGTTTCCGCTCCGCCACAACTGAGAGGAACCAGCTTGTGATTATGAAGGCTTTGAGTGCGGCTCAGAACCTTATAGGGCAGGTCGACTTGGTGGAGCTCTGTGAGAAGATTGGCCCGAAATTCGAGACTACAAATGAAGGAGCTACACGGGACCAAGGAGGGTTTGAAGAACCACGAGAGGTCGATGTCGGGGGGACTTGATGGAGGGTGTTGGACATGTAGATAATAGGTAGTTCGTCGACACCCTCATTCACAAGACAGAATGCGTTAGGCTTGATCCTGGAACAATGATCTCGTCCAAGATACGTCATCATGGTCGTGTTTCCCTGGCTCCAAGACGCTTCGCGTGTCCTTATTTCACATAGGCCTGACGATTTATTTATAGTGAGCACCGCATAGCAAGCGGCGGGAAAGAGGAATCCAACATATGTATGTATGTGTGTATGTATGTGTGTATTAGACATTAATTCGGCCATGACTCGACTTGACTGCACTGCACTGCAGGCGTAACAAGAAGAAGAAGCAGAAGAAGAAATCCCACACTGCCTCCCACAGCCCTCAGTCTCCAGTCCCCAGTCTCTATCCAGAACATGCGAACGCCGTGACCTCAGCCTCAATCCCGTGCAGGAAAGCAATGCAAAGCAATGCAAAAGCTAGTCGCTGACAAGCTGACACGATGACACGCTGATACACAAAGACAGGAATGTGTAAGCGCTGCTGTACATGTAAATGTAAAACGAACGTTCGCTCAAGGTCGATTGATCCAACGAGCTTGTATGGCAAGCAGACAAGCAATCAGGCAATGCTTGCTTTTGTTCTTTTCTTCAAAAGGTGCGCTTTTTTTCGCTGGACGTGAAAGGAAAGGGGTGAGAAACAGTAGGGGGGGAAGGGAGGGGGGGGAGGAAGGGAGAGAGGAAATGTCTCGTGGAATCGTCGCTCCGTCACAGGAAGGGCATCAAACGATGCTCGTCGACACCTTGATCAACAACATCGTCCTCTCCCTGCTCGCGAAGCCGGGCGGCGAAATACGTCTTCCCACTCCCCGAGGCTGGTGAGCACTCCATTCCGCACGGTGCCTCCCCTCCCGCCTTTCCGCCGTCTCACGGTACCTCCATCTGTGGTTACGCTGTCCCCGTCGACTCCTACAGCGCCATCGCCATACTGGATACCACTTGCCGGATCATCCGGGTCGATCTCCCCCAGCTCGATCTTGGTCAGGATCATGGCGGCCAGGCGGTAAAATATTGCATCGACATTGTCACCCGTCAGAGCCGAGACCTCCATTGTGACGGGGATGTGGACTTTCGAGGCCCAGCGGGAGGCGGTTTCGGTGCTGACTTCGCGACCTTCGGTGGATTGCGTTGCTGTCCATTTTGAGAGGTTCATGCTGTCCCCGCGCGAGCGACTGGATGTTGTCTTGACCGAGTCGGTGACGCTTCCGCCTCCAGAATCGTAGGGGAAATATGACTGTCGACTTGACGCGCTCGATGCCGCTGGTGTAGCACTGTTGGCTTCATCTTCCTTTTGGATGCGCTGATGGTGGGCACTCCCTTTCACATGCACGGCCTGCGTTCTCGTATGGTTTTGACCCGAATGAACTTGGGCTTGTAGCGACTCGTCTGCCAGATCCGCCTTGTTGCCCGCCAAAACCACCGTCAACTGTGGACTAGCCAAAGCCCTTGCGTCACTCAGAAATGTTGGGAGTGCTTGGAAACTGGCCATACTGGCGACATCGTATACCAGCACTGCGCCCGCTGCTCCCCGGTAGTAACTCCGACTCACGCTTCGGAATCGCTCTGTGCCCGCCGTGTCCCACAGTTGCAACTTGATTCGCTTCGAACGATTGGGGGGTGTGCCGATCTTTATTATCTTCGACGAGAACTCAACGCCGATGGTCTGGGAGGAAAGGACGCGCCATTCGTTCTTCACGAAGCGGTGCAGGAGACAGGATTTGCCGGTGCCGCTGGGGCCGAGGAGGACAATTTTGGCCAGGTAGTCGTACATGCTCCCTAGCTCCTACAGATAGCTGGTTACTACAGACCACCCAGCTATGAACATGGTCTGGGAGACTATGGTAGAGTGCGCAAGTACCTGGTTCTGGTCCGGTACGGAACTGAGATCTGACGCGGCAGACGCTCGTCGTGGGCGCGCCATATTGGCGACAGTGTATTGTGAGGAGCCTTTTAGGCAATTGTGTTATTATGCTGGGACCTCGCAGTTCCATAGGGGTAAGAATGGAAACATCACAAACAGTAGGGCGCATTTAGGTGAGCATTTGCTGATAACGACTCTGGTGCAAATGCCGACATGGATGGTTCCGAAACGGGGATCCCGGCAGCGGGAATCGGATTTACTTTAAGCCGATAAACCCGTGCACGAGATGCTCCTGTGACCATTCAGAAGCAATGTATGTACAAGTAGACGTCAAACATGATCAACCCACATCAGAAACACGTACGTCTGTGGTCAGGCAGACTCGCAATCAGGGAGGAAATCCAGCTCTTCACATGCTCAAAATGAAGCGTGCTGCGGATCGAGACTGCTTGTCTGGACGGGGCTGGCGTGAACATTGGTTTTGAAAGCACGAGAATGACCCTGCATATCAAGCCATCGGCGTCATCGACACCAGCCACTGTCAAAGATCGGATCCCTTTTCAGGCAGTTCCAAGATCGAATAGAGTTTAGATGTGCCCATTGTCCCCCCGATTAAGGGTTCGGTGGTTGTGGTTAGCGGGCTTCACAGACAGACAAACGGTCATTTCGGGGACTTCGGGGGGCTTGGGAGGGGCTCTTGGGGCGCTTGGGGCCCGAGGACTTGTTGGGGTTGCAAGGGGAGGCGAGGGGTGACCACCCACACCTGCAGTTCCGGGGTCTCTTGGCTCCTGTCACCCCTAGATTCCGGGCTTAGCGAGGAACGCAGGGCCCAATCGACACCCCCGCACGGCGAGATGGCGCTTTTAGGCGCGGATGAGAGACGAAATGTGGCAGCACCAACACCTCCTCCAAGCAAGTGATCGACCAAACCGTCGTCAATGGTGGGTGATGGTGTCCATGATGAGATGACATGCTCCATTCAACGATCCCCGTAGAGTGTACGGTAAGCTCGCGGTGGCTTTTTGAACCAGCCTGCAGCCTGTAGCCCGCGGCTTGCGTCCTGCATCTTATGTCACCTCCCACAGAGTTTCTCTCTGTCTGCGGTCGTGCTGGCACCACTGGTTGTTTGTATACATGCATATTTGACTGATCGAAGCCTACAGCGTGCTGCCGTCTTGGTTATATGTCAGTAAGACAGTGAGAGGAGCGACCTCCCGCTCCGCTACTTCGCTCTACGGGTAGCAGCATCGCTTCGTGGGAAACTACCACCAAGCGAGGTTTCCATCAAATCTCCTAGCCTCGGAGCTTCACCATTGTCACAACTTCTCTACACCACAAACATGGTTTTCCCCAAGCGCCAGATGGACGGTCGATCCTCCTCTCGATCTCCGTCACCCTCAGACTCGATCGAGAGCGTTCTGTCCTCTTCAAGTACTCTCATCTCTTCGCCAGATTCCTCGTCCGCACCACCTTCGCCGTCCTCCGCAGTCCCAACTCCATCCTCTATGTACAGTAGTTTGGGTACTCGCCCCCGTCGTCCAACACCGCCCTCACGGCTACTTGGTGCCATAGATGAAGACAGCTCTACAGTACAACCCGATCTCCCATTATCCAGTGACAGTGAGAAGAATCCCGTCGCCAAACTTCATGTATACGCTGCGGTGGTCAACTCTAAACAACGGCCAACTCTCGCACTGTCGACAAGTCCACCAGCCAACGATTTCGACCGCGTGATGGGGCCTCGGGGTGAGAGGTTTGCTGATCTGCGAATGAATCGAAAAATAGAGGGAGCCAAGGGCTGGAAGAGATTCATGTGTTTCGGGTAAGTCACCACGGTTTTCACGTTGATTCTGATTCCCTGTAACTTTTGGTTTACTCATGTTTCTTACCGAGTCAGTTGATGTGGAACATAACTTCTCTTCGGAGGGATACATGGACAATTCCAACACGACTCAATGCGATGCAGTCATCCTTACCCTTAGCAACAGGGATAGGGCGTGGCTTTCAAACCCAGCCGATCGGGCACATTTTGACAAGCGGAGCTTCCAGATCGGCAGATGCAGATGTTACTTGGCCGTCGGAAGATTTCTTGTTGATCTTGAAACTTGAAGAGGAGCGACCCCCCGAGGGCACGAGAGGGACCGTGAAAGACCGCGAACAACCAACAACAGGATTTAATGAATTTGTACGACTATTGGCATTTTAATTACTTTGCAGCTTAGCAGAGGCGTTCTGGCTGGTGGTATTTAGTCCGTCGTGCAGGACCAGTGGAATTTCAAATGTATCAGACTTTGCTCTATTCAGACGGCGCGTATCCGGTAACGCAGCCCAATCCGTAAGCTGCCCATTTCTTGTACGCGATACGCCTCCGCTGGCTCAAGGTTTGGTCGTTCAATAAGTCTTTAGAAGTCGAGTCCGGTGTGTTGAGAAATATGAGGGCTTCAGAGAGTTGTCTTTGGCCTGGTAATCCCATGTGGCCCTTGTTCAGCTGTTCAACCTATGTACAGCACTCGGCACGCATCTTCATCCCTACCCACTCCACGCTCCTGAGCTCTGAAAACGTGTTCTCGGCATCACCCACCGTCTTCCACTTACGGGCACACGCATCCTGTCTGCAACAGAGCACGAATACTTGTGCCCCAAACACAACCCAAATGGCATACCTCCTCATTGCTGCGGGTGTCCATCTCCGACAGAAACTTCACGAACGGAAAGAATTACAGCGCGAGAAGAAGCGAATGGAGTACGAGCAGCGGTATCGCGACTTGGAACAAGACCATGCCGCCAGGATTGGCAATTCCCACCAAACCGCCCGGGTAGGGGTTGACAGCGTGCGAGTTGCGGGACGCCACGACGAGCCTTCTGTTGTTCTTGACGGAAACAAACATGAGCGGAATAGTATGGAAAACGGTGAGCGAAGACCAAGCGAGGACAATTCTGCCGGATGCTTTGACAAAGTCGTCAACCAGACAGCACAAATGAAGATATCATAGCCTTATCTCCCAAATGGTGTTGGCTGACGGACTCGTACATGGTTGATAGAGCAACAGACTGTTGGAGGTCAAAGGGCGCGATCCGTAGCATCACTAGCGGGGTTTCTTCGGGAGCCTTACCTCAAATGAACTAGCCATCACATGATGCTGATAATGACATCCCTGCTCCTGTCGGCTCCCATTGCACCGGGAACACACGTACTCCATAATCGACTCGAAGGGAAAATAATTGCAGCAAGTAGCCGATCTTCCTGCTTCCACTCTACTGCCGTCATAACCGACTTGTCATGTCCTCTTTCTCGCCAGCTTCATTCTCATCAAAAGCTTATGAATCTATACTGCTTCTCCCCGCACGGATTGGTCGCAAATGCGGGCCGTGGCCTACTTGGGGCTGATCCTCCCACTGTCCTGCATCCGGGACTACTTTTTTGTTTGATTCCCCTCATCTCGTGCAGAGGCATGCTACAATAATGTCGCCCATTTTCCGTTCTCCGGAAGGCTGGAGTGTGCAGACGCTCGCTCTCATGATAGTTTCTTTCCCCATCTCTTTTTTTTTTGTTTTCTGTTGTGTGTTGACTGTGCTCTTCTTTCGCAGTCCTACTTGACCACCACTGGTAGACAGACCCGACCATGGGTCTTGGTGCTCACAATGAAACCCAGAAGTCGGTCGATACCACCGTTGCGCCGCAGTCCTTGACAGGTATACTTCCCCTCCGGACTCGTTAGTGAAGAGAGTGCTCTGACGCTTCGCAGTCAACCAAGCCAACCGTCCTGGTCTCCAACGTTGCGATGCTTCTCAGAATACCCTCACGAGCGGGCAAGCGCCCAGCGTGTCGCCGGATGACGAGCCAAAGAACACAAAAGACTCGAGAAAGATCATAACGTTCAGCTCGAGTGACCCGGAAAATCCTTACAACTGGCCGCGGAGGAAGAAGCTATACATTTTCTTCACAGGCATGATCACTGTAATGAACAGCACCATTTCCTCGTCGTTGCCGAGCGGGGCCATCACTTTCATAGCAAGGCATTTCGACGTCACAAAAGAGATTCAGCTTCCGCTGCCAATATCCTGTTTTCTGGCCGGTTATGTTGTAGGGCCCACGCTATGTGGTCCCCTTTCCGAAAATAATGGTCGGCAACGAGTCATCCTGTCATTCTTCGTCTTGTCCACCATATTCAGCATGGCATGCGCCGTGGCACCGAACTGGCCTTGTTTGCTCTTCTTCCGCTTTGTGTGTGGGATTGGATTTTCTGGGCCAGTGGCGATCACGGGAGGATTATATGCTGACGTATATAACGACCCAAGGGAACGTGGCTTGGCGATGGCGTGGTTCATGGTTGCGACGACATTCGGTCCCGTTGTAGCACCAGCCATTTCAGGGTTCATTGCGGAGAATACTTCGTGGCGATGGGTCTTTGCCGTGGGCACTCTATTGGCCGTGGCAACACTACCCCTTGTTATTTTCATGCCAGAGACATACACCCCAGTCCTGCTCAGCCGCAAAGCAGCAAGACTTCGCAAAGAGACAGGTGATCCCGAGATCGTTGCCAAGACAGATCTTCAGAAGAAAACACTGCGTCACGTCATTACGGTTGTCATGACTCGACCGTACCGCATGCTTTTTCAAGAGGTCATTGTCATGTGCGTGGCAGCATATTGCTCTTTGGCGTACGCAATCTTCTACCTGTACTTTGAAGCCTACCCTATCATTTTCCAGGGTCCGGACTCAGTATACAAATGGTCATATGGACTTGCCGGACTTGCGTTTCTTCCAATTGCATTTGGATCTCTTCTCGCGGCACCACTCTATCTCTGGTGGGACTCATATCTGGCCAAGGCTCAGAAGCGACAAGCCCCGTGGGCACAACATGAGGAGTACAGACGGCTCCCACTGGCTTGCATTGGAGGGCCACTCTACGTGGTCTCCCTGTTCTGGATCGGGTGGAGTGCAAAACCGGGCGTTTACTGGCTTGCACCTGTTGCCTCGGGTTTTATCTTTGGGGCGGCATTCCTCCTCATTTTCATGGCTTTGCTCAACTACCTCACTGATGCCTACGAAACATTTGCAGCCAGTGCCCAAGGCATCACCAGCACTAGTCGAAGCGTTTTTGGTGCAGTCTTGCCACTAGCTGCAAATTCCATGTTCTCCCGCCTGGGCATTGCATGGGCGTGCAGTTTACTAGCTTTTCTGAGTCTGGGAATGTGTCTAATTCCCTTTGCGTTTATCAAATATGGTGATCGAATCCGAGACAACAGCAAGTTTTGCAAGGAGTTGAAGGAACTCAAGGCTCGGGAGGCTGCAGAGAGTGAGGCCGAGGAGAGGGAGGAAAAGTTGAGGGTCGAGAACGGAGACGTGGCAAGGGAAGCGGACGCCGAAAAGATGCTTGACCAGGTATGACGATTAGACGACGAACAGCAAATGGATATCTCGGGTAAAATAGATTTGGTTTCTAGAAGAGTTGGCTATCATAGAAAAAAGAACATAGCGCTGGAGTTTGTGGGAAACGAGAATGATGTTGTTTGAGAAACTGTATACTTGTTTCCTTGTGATGTCTTGCAGTCCTCTCATCACCAGAGTTCTCTTGAAGATCTAGAGGCATATATATAGGTAGGAGACACCATCACAGTCAACAGAATACTGGATTTCTATCAGTACGGAGTATGTCGACGAGGAGTGTGCAGGGCGGCCACTCAGGAGGTCGCAGCCTCGCCGGGCTTGATTGGTCAGGGTGGGGTACTTTCCTCCCTACCTAGACACCCTTGATACCCTAGACTGTTACCAACTACCCGTGCCTGTTCCAGTTTAGTTATGTGTTCCGAGTATTGTGTATATGGCATCTCCTTCATTTAGCCTCCATTAACATGACTCCAAAGGTATACAAAAGGAGAGATGAAAAGAAAAGAGAGTTGGATGGAATTGTGTATGTGCATGGAAATGTTTGAATATTCCTGTTCCAGCTAGGACACGAGCCGTATTAATTTATGGGTTTCTTCCTTTTCTTTTCCTTTTTTTTTTCTTGTTTTGCATAGCTTACTTGTCCTGTCCCGTGTTCCCCGGTTCTAAATGAGTGTGTTCTACAAGACTACGAGCGATTCTTGTATCCAATTCAGAGTGACCCTCCCCATCTGAAGCTCTACAGAGCCATGTTCTTTTTTTCAAATTATCGACTCCTCATCACCACTCTACGCCTTTTCAAGCTCAACTCACCTACTCCATCAACTCACGCTCGTCCCTATGATTCGACGCCTACATCGTCAGCCAGTCAGTCAACTGTCCCATCATCGCCAACATCAACATCAACAGGGGAGTTTCGTCTCAGTAATCAAACTCGGCCCCGAAGGCCTTATTGATCCGATACGACTCGAGCGCGTACATCACCCTCAACTTGACCCTCCACGCGTAGAATTTGATGTTGTCCTTCCACGTCCACGCGGTGGGATCGGTCTTGAAGTGCGGGTGGGTCTCGGAGGTGTTGGCCGATGACGATGACGGGGTGGGAGACGCCGGGCGCGCCGCTTCCAGGTCGTCGTCAGCACGCTGGTGCTTCGACCTGGATTTGGACTTGGAGTGGCGCTTCGGGAGGAATGACAGCGGGGATATCATGTTGCAGCCTTTTTCCAACTTTTAGGGGTTTGGTTGAGGGTTTTTGGTGGTAGATAGATGGGATGGGGAATGGGATTTGCTGTTGATCAGTAGAAACGAGTTGAATCGTCTGCTTGTTCAGGATGCTTGTAATTGATGATAGATTGGAGGGAACGGGCAGGTGTCGAGAGGTATATAAGGCCGTCGAGCGCGGGTTGAGGCAGGTCTATCGTCAAGGGCTGAGACTGCCTTAAGAGGTACTGCGCCGTGGCTGAGTGGTACAAGGCATTGTCTGTGGAAGGCAGTTTGGAGCTGCCTCATTGAGACCCTGCCAAGTGTGTCTCGAATCTGACTGTGGTTCAATGTGCTTCGTCACTAAGGAAGAAGGTAGGCAGTGGTACCGTGGAAGTCAGTGGCCTCACCTACTGCGGCTTTGTTGGACGCTTTGTGCAGCCTTATGACCTTAACAAAAGGGCATTGAGCAGTTAATGAATTGAGATAATGAACACGGGCCTTGTGCCGTACTTGAGAAAAGCAAAGAGTGTGGCTTTATGCAGATCGAAGTCCGAAACAGAAACACTGGGATAAACACGGGGCATGGTGCATAATATCTCATAAGGAAAAGGGTAGTGCTATGGTGGCCATGGCAGCTGGAGGTGGCTCTGGTATCGCACCCTGGACAAAAGATACAACATCATCTACGTAATTCAAAAATGGGCGATACGAATAATAATAATATCTTATTTTGGCTCATGCTACGCCCTACCATCTTTCACACCTTCCAGGTTAAACCCCTCGAGAGCGCTAGACAAACTCTCCACGAGCCTCTATCTCCCATCTGTTTTCTCGGTCCATCATTGTGCCAGACCCCCAGTCCCAGCCCCCCCTGGAGAATCCACTCGAAGTCGTGCGGCCAACCGGCGTTTCAATCTGTATCGATGGATACGACGATTACGATGGGAAGGATCGGCACGCAAGGTCCCATATTGAGTCCGCTGGAAGTAGTCAGTATCGAGAACGCCGATGACTTCTCGTTCGAGGCGCGCCCTATCATCCTCACCTTGGGAATCAGGAGCAGAGTTCGTAGTGTCTGGGTCGGGGGAGGTTGTGGCACTAGTCTCGACACCGGTAGCGTGAATATCACCAGCAACAGGCTGCCACTTGGCCGGGTCAGCAGACGAAGCCCTCATACTGATCTTCATAAACGCCTTGGAAATCTGCTCCACAGGGTCAACGTCAGCCTCGGTCGAAGCACCATCCAGAGAGTCCTCAGTCAAGAGATTGGGAGTTTCCATGAGAAGCTCGGCAAATCTCTTGACTAGGTCTGGATCTTTGTCGACTGTGGAGTCGGACATTTCTGTCTTTGTCGGTTCTGATAGTTTGCTGTGAGGCTGCTGGAAAGGGTTTGGTTGATTTGCTGGTTGTTTGCCAGTGGAATGGTCGTTGATGGTAGTACTGCGAGAGCATGACCTGGAGATGATGTTGTATATTTATGGAAATTGTCCCGTCAACTCGGAGCTCCCCAAGGCAGCTCTTCAGGATCCATACTTCTTTTCAAAGTGACTCCTTCAGCTGCCTTTCGTCGAAGCTAGGTCAAGCGATGAGGTTAATGGGGAGAAACATCTCTTTGTTACCCTTTATGCAGCTGGACAAAGAATACAGGAGAAAGGAAGAAATATGCTTGTCCTCCAAATGACAGTGATCAGAGAAGGTTTGATTCATGATGTCTTTCAACGTCAATGGAAGCGTGTTTTGTGATTGCGGTGATTCTTCAACTTTGCGAGGTGAAGTTGAATTGATACGTTGGTTCGGACAAATAGAAAGTCCGAGGTGAGTCAATCATGTGACCACCACTAAGCACAACCTGTGATTGGATGGTCGAGGTTCCAGGCAGAATGGTTGAACGACAAGTCAACGACGTCGCACCATGGACAATTGAAATCCCCGACCTCTTGGTCTCGGGGTTTCTTCGAAAACATAGCGTCCACTATGTCGATGACGGCGCAGTCCCTGAATAGCCCCATCCCGATCGCAACGGCTCCATCGTCCTCCCCCGGGAAGCCAAAGCGGGTGCTTGCATGTGTCCTCTGCCAGCAGCGAAAGGTCAAGTGCGACCGCATCTTCCCTTGCGCAAACTGTGTCAGATCTCAAGTCCAATGTGTTCCCAGCCCCTTACTTAAGCGACGACTAAGGCGAAGGCCCCCACAGAGAGAGCTCCTGGAGCGCATAGCCAAGTACGAAGATTTGCTCCGTCAGAACAACGTCAAGTTCGAACCACTCCACAATGATTTTGGATTGGAGAAAGAAAAATCCGTCGCCGGGAGTGGCTACGGCTCTGACGGTGAGCCTCCAGAACATATGGACTCGGAGATGCAAACGCCTTCGACCACCAGCAGGTCCGGAAGAAGTTACGGAGTCAAGTATGCGTGTTCCAGGACTTGATCCATGGTAGCTGACTCTCCCAGAAATGTATGGCATGTCATGAGTCAAGGGGTACGGCCATGTCGCCTTATTTGTGAGCTCTTCTGACTGCTCCCACAGTTCCGAGACTCTGATAGTGACAGCGCCGCCTCTCATGAAAATGAGCTTGAAAGCGCGGTGAAAGACGTGTACGATCAATCAGTTGTAAGCGATGATAACCTTTTGTTCGGTGCCCGTGGCCCAGCAGTCAACCTTTCCAGTCTACATCCCGACCCAGTTCGAATCTTCCGGCTGTGGCAGATCTACTCGGACAACGTAAACCCGCTGCTCAAGGTTACACACACTCCCAGCCTGCAGGGACGTCTCATCGAAGCTGTCAGTGACATTTCCAAAATCAGTCCAACCTTGGAAGCATTGATGTTCAGTATCTACTGTGTGGCGATTTCGAGCCATGCGACCGAAGACTGCCAGCGACTTTTCGAGTGCCCGAAAGAAGACCTTTTGATGAGATATCACTATGCCTGTCAACAGGCGCTGTTAAATTGCTCGTTCTTACGAACCAACGACCGTGATTGCTTGACTGCACTATATCTCTACCTGGTGCGTATTACCAACAGCTGGTTTCACCCTCCTAACAGCGCCAGATCTCTGTCAGATCCAGTTCATTTCCTCAGTCCCTGTCATCTGTGCTTGCTGTAGCAATCCGCATTGCCCAACGCATGGGTATCCATAGTGAGTCGGTATTGGCAAAACACACGATATTTGAGGCGGAAATGCGCCGAAGGTTGTGGTGGTCGCTGGTGCTATTTGATACTCGTGTCAGCGAGACCACAAACTCCAGGACTGCAACGCTAGATCCGGCATGGGACTGCAAAGTTCCCCTCAATGTGAACGACTCTGACCTGCAGCCGGATATGAAGAGACCGCCAGTAACGCAGGGAAATACCACCGAAGCACTTTTTGCTGTCGTTCGTTGTGAACTGGGTGAAGTGATCCGCCATTCCTCGACCCATCTCGATTTTACTACCCCAGCCCTGAAGGTTAACGTCATTACTGCCCAGAGCGAAGCCGAGGGAGATGAAACTGAGCTAATCAGGCTGGAGAAGATGGTTGAGGACCGGTACCTCAGGCACTGTGACCAAGAGCACCCACTGCAGTTCATGACGATGTGGACGACACGCGCTCACCTGGCCAAATATCGCCTTCTGGAACATCAGTCTCGGTATTTTGGCTCATCCTCGCGACAAACAAATGCGCAGCGACGCACCGCCACTTCTCATGCGCTCACAATGCTTGAATGCAACACCAAGCTCATGGCGTCACCGCTCACCAAGGGATTCCGTTGGCTCAACCAATTCTACTTCCCATTCCCAGCCTACATCCAAATCGTGCAGGAGTTGCGAAGCCGGCCGCTGAGCAACCAAGCTCGTCACGCCTGGGAAGTCATGAGTGACAATTACAGTGCGTGGTTCGGGCCTCACTTTCGGGAAGACAGTCCTTTCTTCCGCCTCTTCACCAAGTTGGTACTGCAGGCATGGGAGGCGTACGAGGCAGCTCCCAAGCGACCGGAAGATGTCTTGATGACAGAGCCAAGAGTCGTCTCCTCCATCAAGCACGCACTCTCACAAATAGCCCTGCATGCCCGGGATGTCGATACCGGCCTGCCGACCATGCTGACGGGGAATCCCGACATTGATGATGGTGGTGGCGTAATAATGCCAACTTCGATGCACATCACACCGACGCCGACGCCCATGGGGATGGGGTTCTGGGACCACGGCATGCCCTATAATAACAATAGCGACATCAACAACGAGATACAGGATGATTTCGCCCTTTTCAGTGGACAGATGGATGCGAATATCAATATGGCGGGGCAACCTGGACACCTCGACCCCTGGAACTGGACGGGATTCGGCGGACAGCCTGGCTGGGAGGGCGCTTGATCGTGATCTTGTACGGCACAGCGAACCGGCCACTCCACTCTGCTCACCCATTATTCCTCTTCTGATTCTCTTACTCGCATCCAGAGTTTCAATTCAACTCAGTTCAATTCGATTCGATTCATTCTAGTTCAGTTCCTCCATCAACAAGGCTATCTGTCACTAAATCACTAGATGGTCATAGTTTAAGTCCCCAGACCAACCTATCTGTCCCTCCGACTCCCTCGCCAGGAAAAGAGTGAGCAATTAAACAAGTAATACCTATGCTGGCTAGGACTCACCCAGTTGGGGGAGAAATACACAGGGAGAACTTGGCCTCAGAATCCTCCATCTGTCGACTCTCAGTCCTTGAATTGTTCTTCTCGGTTTGACGCAGAAGTGCGCATCCACTCTTCGCGTGCCTCCCCAACTGATGGCGTCAGAGCCGAGAAGAAATGTCTTTGCGCGACGTGGCATAACGTACCGCCGGCGGAAGGATACTTGGATATATGTGCGGGAGAGGTATTCCAACTCGGGTAGATGAGGAGCGAGGGAAGGACTATGGACAGACACCAACGGGATAATCAATTCAATTGTTCAAAAACACTGTGGCTGAGGTATTTCTATCTGTTTCCTGTGCTCACATCGCATTGATCTCAATCCTGAGCAGGGTCTGTCGGGAGAACGGTTGCAGTGAACAGAGCAGAGGTTCCAGTACATGAAGCGTGAAACGAAGAATCGGGACGGGACCAGGTAGCCTGGACTCCTCTTTCATTGCCCTCCACGCCCTGACTGGTCCTCGACACCCACCCACACCTGTGATTGCCATCAACCCTTGCCTCACCGAATCTCTCTCTCTCAATTCCCACTCCCGTCTCTCCTTCAAGGACTCATTCACCCAGAGATCTCCATCCCGCTAACTCCACCCATTCAGGATTCTCTACTGCTGAAACCGGTTGCGACTTGCGAAAGACCAATTGAACCTCGTGAACCCTCAGTAATCGTTCGAAGGGAGACCACGGGCCCCCCATGAGCTTGCTGTCGTACCACATGCGCCGGACCACCGTCCAATTTTCCAAGCACCCAAGTCCATCCTTGGATTGGAAAAGGTCTTTGACATCGTCCCGTTCCCGATCCAGTCCTATGCACGTGCTCCATATACTTTCCCACGTCACATCTCTCACGGGAAGCAAAGGGTTGTAGGAAACAGTCACTTCTTCTACCGACTGCAGAGCTTGTCCTTTGGTAGTCCGAATCAATGCAGCCAGGATCTTCAGGTCGTCCAAGTCTATGCAGGTCGGAGAAGCACTTCTAGTAACGTATCGAAGCCTTCGGATTTTGTTCAGTTTGTAGAGTGACTGTCTTTCGAGGGAGACCGTTTGGAACAAGGCAGATCCAGGGCGACGAGTATGAGGAATGTTATAGACCATTTCAGTGCCCCTGTGGCAGATTTCTCCAAACGCTGTCAACGGCGTCTTATTCAGCATATTAGATCCTGAGAGAAGGGTCCCAGCCCGCAAGCAGATTTCGTATAGTCATGGTGGTGGTGGAGAAAAAGAGCGGATCCCATTCCCTGGTGATCTGATGTCACACACGTCTGAGATTCTTTCTTGCCAAAGTGATGGTTACTCTTTTGTCTTGGTGCTTTTTGTCGCACTGCCCGCATGCTTTCTCGGGCGGGATCGTGAGGAAACTTCTGTAGACCAGGAGTCGGATCTCTGCAGGAAGTTTAAGCACTGGAAACGACTCGGTAGACGAGTGTCGCACATGGCCTTTTGGCTGGAGGAACTTTCGTGCCGTCACGGCTGGTGTAGGGGTTGTAGGAGCAGGATAGTCAACTCCCGAAGAGTTTGGCGGGTCTGAGTCTGGAGGAGTATATGGCAGCGTAACGGCCAACTTCTTGAACATCATTTCTATCTGTGCCATCAAAACCGCTGCATCTCCCATTGGACATTCGGACCTGTTGCAGCGCGAGCGATGACGGCTCGCAGTTTTAGAAGTGGCGATCGCAGTGCGTCGTCGGTGGGTTTGGCTTCTTGTATTCGGTGCTCCAAGCACAGAAACGAGAACCTCATCTTCGCTCGACAAGGTGCGGCCAGTTTCATCAGAGAATTTGAACATAGGGGAGGTCTTGTGCGAAGAATGATTCCTGGATAGAACGCTGGAGAAAGAACGGACAAGCGTCATTTGCGTCCTACATGCAGCATCATATGGAAGATTGAAGACACCGCGTCCCAACATTGAACTGGTTTATTTCCTGAAACTTGCCTTCACGGTCTTAGTCTCTGACTCACAACTGCCGCGACCCGTGGTTCGACGCGATTAGGCTCGAGCTTTGGGGGGACAGAGAAGGGAGAATATCTCTTGCTGAAACAGTAATCGATTAAGGGTGACAAACAAACCGTGATGTTTCCATGGAGTTGTTTGGTCATGAATGGATTGAGATAGGCTGCGATATTTCATTTCTCACAACTGCCTCTGTCGCTATGTACTCCCGCAGCCTTTCTCAACGTCGCTTCAGTCACCAGCATCTGATTTTCCCACACAAAGAAAATGGCCATTCGAGAGACAAAATCCGAGTTAGGATTTTGCAATTGGATAGTTACTACAGTACGGAAATTGAAGTTTCAGATTGGAGAGCGTTGATTGTCCACTTGCAGTTTTGATATTTCTGCTCCTAAATCAGTCTCAGTCCCTTCACGGCCGTTCAGTCAGTAATATCCACTTGTGTCCTATAGATCTCCATCCACCAGCGATCCGTAATGTCCCCTAATGAGTCTTGACCAAGGATATGATCGGTACAAATGTTCATCAGAGCCGCGGACGTCCTTGTCTCCCAATAATTCTCTCCAGTGATGTGCTGTCAGGCACTGGTTGCCCATTCCGGTCGTCAGTGGGAATCCGCTGTGATGCAAAGGCCAGAAACACCGCTTCCCAATGACCATCCGGAAATCGTAAGAAGAAAGCTCCATCTTGTCCAATGCCATTGGGAAAACCAACACTTCCTTGGTTCATATGTATGTCATGAATGCCGGAGCCAAAGGACGAACCATAGAGGTAGATGTCTGCCCGCTGTCTGATGGCGTCGTCGAGGATGGGTCGGAGTTGATCGAGGATATCATTGTCAGGTCCGCTTTCGCGAAATGGCAAGATTCTCCCGTCGGGGATCCGGAGCAGGTTACGAGTGCGGATGTAATCGAGGGCAAGGTCGCGTGTGTCACGATCACGGGGATCAATTGGGTGGAAGCCGTAGTCTAGGTGTTCGAGGTCTCGAGTCACCGAGTGAGAGAAGTTATGGTTGAACCAGTAGACAAGTTCGTTCGGGTGGTCCTGGGATTTGACATTGATTGCTGCCTTCCGTTTGATCGTTCCGTGGTTGTCATCCTTGAAGGAAAGGTTGATGTGAGGAGTACGGTCATTTGGACCATCAACTTGGTAGGAAACAGGAATGCCCTTCCATACGCCGTAGTGTGGGATTGGCATGGCGTCTTGTTTGGATTGTAATGATATGTGTGGCTAGAATTTGAGGAAAGAACAGAAGATAGATTGTTGATAGAATGAAAAGCCCAGGTTGTGCAACCTTTATACTATTTAGACCACGGGGCTGCTTGCAGATTCGAGCTGACAAGCCGTCAGGCTGTTGGGGTTCCAATACTCAGTGCCACCAACACCATCGTATCCACGACCCATTGAGAGACAGAGTTGCCTCGTAGCCAAGGAGGCCTGATTCTGACACGAGAAGCCATGTCTTGGATGCCTACCTCTGGTGTGGTGGGAACAGAAACAGCGAAAATCTTGAATGTGGCATCCTTCGCAACCTTCTGCCTGAAGGATATGCTTGTATCGTACTCTCATTCCTTCGTAGAGGCTGTCACAAATTATAGGAATGGGATATAGTGATGATTTTTGTTCAAGAAGTCCCATATGAGAGTATCCTCGTCGGCCTCTAGGAAGCAGTCTTGGTGGTGGAGGATTTGGAGGGTGGGAGAACAGGCCAAGGCAATCCGTACCACCTCAGTGACACCAATCCCCACCTGTCAAACTTGAAGGAAGTGTGATGGACTCGGTCCAAGCACATTTGCCAAGATATGTCTGAAACTGATGGTAGTCCTGAACTGGAACTATTGAAACTCGCCGTGATTTCGTGGTGTTTTGGGACACGGCTGGATCTTGTTGAACGTAGAGAGAGAGACAGGATGAGGCTGTCAAGGCAGGTAGGCAAGTGGCGTCCAATTGAGCTAGACCTCGCAGTGTTGCGTCAACGAAAAGCATGGTTCCTCCTGCATGATGGATAACTCCTTCCCGACTGGTGGGTGGGTGCGCCTGGTTGTGGTTGTTACACACCAAAACCTCCGAGCACCTTCCTGTCACTTCAGCCGCAGAGTCTGGAAGGACAGGGTAAAGAGAGGAAATTCGCAGTGTAGTGGCTGCCGAGGGGAGGTCAAAGGTCGTTCGTGGTCGAGAGCCTGCGGAAGGTGCGATCGGTTGACATGTGGAAGGCACAGACAAGAGAGTCTGAGGTGAAAGTGACAGGCGGTGTCACTCTTGACATTGCAATTCCAACTGACCATCCATGCAGCACAACACACCGACTTTGCCTTGTGGAGCTGAAACAAAGCAACGAGTTCGTGTTGAGTTCGTGTCCAGGTCGAGGCTGAGGTCGACTTCACATCCCTCACAGCCCAATGGACCAATCGCAGGTGCAGCCTCAGCTGCGGCTGGACTCGTCCAACACGAACGTTTCCCCCCCAGAGTCTGTGGCTTCAATCAACTCCCAGGTCGGACTCAGTGCCTCTGCTCCCGGTGCTCCTCCTGCTCGACCTTCACGATCCTGTTTGTCCATCACCAGGGCCAGAACAGAGCGTCAACAAGGGTACAGACGTCCCATCACCTGCACCCCAGATGCATTTAAAGACCTCGTCCACAGAAGCCTCCAGGGCATTCAACAGTTCATTCAATCTCTATCCTGCATCCCTAAGAAAAACACCCAATCGGCTAACACTCTATCGGCATCTACTATGGGGACTGCTCAAGTACCGGTGAAATCCGTCACTGCCATTCCACTGAAGCAAGGCTGGGACGAGGGAGCATTCACTTCCGAGCTGCTGAACAAATCAATCGTGCCACGGGCTATCTCTGCTGCCGACACAGACAAGAAGATCACCCCTCCAAAAGATGTTGGGAAGCCTCCTCCAATTCAGGCTGGTACCTATCAAGGAACCAAGTTGGCCTTGACGCAGATGATGAAACGCATCGAAACAAGGTATTCCCGGGAAATGTCTTCTCTACTCTAGTCGACGGGATACTAAACAGACACAGATTTGAATCTTTCTTCGATGTGGCCGGCTTTGAGACCAGCGTCCCGTTGGCCCTAGCTGTCGACCCAAAGTCTCTCTACACGTTCCAGAAGCCAGGCAGTGACAACTACCCACCGCATCTGGACGTCATACCCAAAGTAGATCAAGTCAACTTGCTCAAGATTTTCGATTTCATGAGGCTTCTTGACACTGGAACCCTTGTGGGCACACTCCTCCCGGACACTATCCTTGATTTTATCCACGACCATCCGGAAGGTTTCACTGTTGACAGCATCGAGGCACGCAACAACGAGCTTCATAAGAACAAGGAAGACATCTTTGACGAGGAGAATATTGGCAATCGTCCTGACTGGTGGACCGATGCTGTATTTGCTCAACAACAATTCGTGGGCACAAATCCTACCACCATCGAGCAAGCCTCGTCCGAGTGGCTCAAAGCCTTTACCGATGCCGCCCAGTCAGATACTGAAATTCAGAATCTCCTGTCGACTGGGAATCCCAAATCCTTCTATGTCCAGGACTGCAGTTACTTCCGAACCGCCATTGGGGCAGATCAGCAGGCAGATATGATTTCCAATGATGGAATGAGACGTCTATGCGCTTCGGTGACTCTCTTTCAACTCACAGATGCCGGCGCTCTTCATCCACTGGCTATAGCTGTTGACTACAAAGGCAGCCTTGCAAACTCTGTGGTCATCTTCAACAAGAGGTCTAGTCCATCTAGCCCTGAGTCCAAGGACGATTGGCCGTGGCGGTATGCAAAGACATGCGCCCAAACCTCAGACTGGTTGAGACACGAAGTCACAGTGCATCTTATCAATACCCACCTGGTGGAGGAGGTCACCATTGTGGCGGCACATCGCGCCTTCTCAACAGATCACCCAGTGTATCGCCTTCTCCAACCTCACTGGCTCAAGACTTTGTCGGTCAACGCAGCAGCTCGGGCAACCCTCGTTCCAAACATCATCGTCAAGATAGTGGGTATCACAGATCCCCAACTCTATTCTTTCCTAAGGGATGGGTACAAACGCTTCGACTGGACAGCAAAATACGTGCCAAATGATTTGGCATCGAGAGGCTTCCCACCTGAGGAACTGGCCAGCAACCCAAAGTTTCATAACTATGCTTATGCACGGAACATGATTCTCATGTGGCAGACTCTTCGCAAGTTCGTGTCGAGTGTTCTTGCCATTGACATCCACTCCGATGAGCAGGTGGAAAAGGACGAGCAGATTGCTAGCTGGATCAAGGAGATGCAAGATGACAATGGAGGACAAATGAAGTCCTTTCCGGAGATCAAGACTTTCGAAGACCTCGTCGACGCCGTCACAATGTGCATCCATATTGCCTCGCCACAGCATACCGCCATCAACTATCTCCAAAGCTATTACCAATCATTCGTTATCAGTAAGCCGTCGGCTTTATTCTCACCATTGCCAAAGAGCCTCGACGATCTCAAGACATATGAGGAAGAAGACTTACTAGCCGCTTATCCGATCAAGCACGCCCGTGAATGGCTGCTGGCATCTCATGTCCCTTATCTTCTCAGCTACAGAGTGGCAGAGGAACAGAACATGCTCAATTTTGCCC